TGTCGGTACCGAGCGCTACCCAATACTACCTGACACAATGACTCCGAGGGAATGAACATGGTGTCGGTACCGAGCGCTACCATATACTCCCTTACACAATGACTCTTTAGGAATAGACATGGTGTCGATACCGAGCGCTACCCAATACTCCCTGACACAATGACTCCCTAGGAATAGACATGGTGTCGGTACCGAGCGCTACCCAATACTCCCTGACACAGTGACTCCGAGGGAATGAACATGGTGTTATCTACGATCAATTAGTTCAATCAGTTTTACATCATGGGGTACTCTGACCATCGAGTCACACCATATTATTATCACTCATCAGATGCAAAATTCGTTTTTTTAAGTGACAACTTTAAATTTAAATTGACGCCATCAATGGTTCTATAAAAAAACCTCTTATATATGTTATATGTGAAAAACAGCATATATAAGCAATGCGGTTCGCCGGGTAAAGGTGGGACAAAAGGGGAAATATCCGTTAACATATAAGTAATTACTCCTTAAACACCAGAGGGATATTTCAACCTTATTGGGGATAAAACATCCCTAGATCCTCTTTAAATGATGAATAAATTCATTGCCTTGATATCGGGTCCGATGGGCATGATTTGAGGTTCGGTGGTTATAATATTAGGTCCGGTTGCAATGATGTTGTGTTCGGTGGGCATGATTTAAGGTCTAGTGGCCTTGATATTGCGTCCGGTTGCCATGATATTGGGTCCGGTTGTCATGATATTGGGTCCAGTTGTCATGATATTAGGTGCGATTGTCATGATATTAGGTCCGGTTGTCATGATATTGGGTCCGGTTTTTATGATATTGGGTCCAGTTGTCATGATATTGGGTCCGTTTGTCACGATATTGGGTCCAGTTGTCATGCTATTTGGTCCGGTTGTCATGATATTGGGTCCGGTTGTCATGATATTGGTTTCGGTTGTCGTGATATTGGGTCCGGTTGTCGCGATAATGGGTCCGGTTGGCATGCTATTGGGGCCAGTGGGCATGATATTTGGTTTGGTGATCTTGTTAATTGGTTCGGTGAGCATGTTGTTTGGTCCGATGGCCTTGATATTGGATCTGGTTGCCATGATATTGGGTAAAAAAATCTAGACTCTAGTTGTCTGCCAAATTCCTGGAAAATGGCTAATTTTAATGCTTTTTTCAAAGGCAGTGGCTCTAGGAGTAATACTGCTAACTATAGACCAATTTCTATAACCTCTTGTATTTGTTAATTAATTAATTTCTATGGACCTTATTTACCTGCAATTTTTCTGTATACCAAAATGTGCAGACACTAATTACCAAGTATAATGGATACACAAATATATTACTACAAAATAAAATGTATGTTTATTAAATTTTGTATGTACCAGAATTTAAATCATCGGGCCAATTCGGACATATTCATATTATATCCGTCACTAAATAGATATGTATATATCATATTATTTAACATCAGATACATGAGGTCTTAGAAATGAACAGTACTGAAAATTTATTTTTGTAGTGACACATTGTGTAAAAAAAAAAAAAAAAAAAGGTTCTAACGCTAAATATCTTACTCGTTTACAATGATTAATTTTGACAGTAAGCAAAATCTTTATAATTATAAAATCAATCCATTATGTCCATATTTCTACCATCAATGGAGAGGACTTATATACATTGTAGGCTATAATATAAGCCTGTTGTCCAATCCTTTTGACAGTGTAACATTCTTCTATATCAATAAAATATGTTGAAATGAAAATGAAAAAAATGATATTGGGTCCAGTGGCCTTGATATTAGGTTCGGTGGCCTTGATATTGGGTTCGGTGGCCATATGATGTTGGGTCTGGTGGCAATATGATGTTTGGTCCGATGACCTTGATATTGGATCTTGGTGCAATGATGTTGGGTCCGGTGGCAATAATATTGCGTCGGGTGGTCCTGATATTGGGTTCGATGGCCTTCATATAGGGCTCGGTTGATGTTTGGTCCGGTGGCCATGATATTTTGTCCGTTGGCCACTCGATATTGGGTCCCATGGCAATATTCTGTTGGATCCGTTGGTCAAATAATATTGGGTCCGGTGGACATGATGTTTTGTCCATTGGCCACATGATGTTGACTCCGGTGGCGAAATGATGTTGATTCCGGTGGCCAAATGATGTTTGGTCCGGTGGCCTTGATGTTCGGTCCGTTGGACATGATATTGGGTCCGGTGGCTACATGTATGATGTTGAGTCCGTTGGCCATGTTGTTAGGTCCGTTGGCCATGGTGTTAGGTCCGGTGGCCATGCTTTTGGGTCCGTTGGCCATGGTGTTGGAACCGTTGATCATGATGTTAGGTCCGTTGGCCATGGTGTTAGGTCCGGTGGTCATGATGTTGGGACCGTTGGCCATGATGATTGGTCCGTTGGCCATGGTAGTATGTTCGGTGGCCATGAAGTTGGATCCGTTTGCAATGATGTTGAGTCAATTAGCCATGATGTTGGGTCCGTTGGCCATGCTGTTTGGTCCGTTGGCCATGATGTTGGGTCCGTTGGCAATGGTGTTGGGACCGTTGATCATGATGTTGGGACCGTTGGCCATGATGATTGGTCCGTTGGCCATGGTAGTTTGTCCGGTGGCCATGATGTTGGATCCGTTTGCCATGATGTAGAGTCCATTGGCCATGATGTTGGGTCCGTTGGCCATGATGTTTGGTCCGTTGGCCATGATGTTGGGTCCGTTGGCAATGGTGTTGGGACCGTTTGCCAGGATTTTGGGTCCGTTGGCCGTCAATCCATGTTTTTTTTTTTAACCTGTTTTACACAGTAGTATGTTTAAACCAGTATTTGGGATTGTCAATTTTATTTACACCAGATGATCATGGTAGGTTATGATTGAGTCTCCGTTTTCGTTTGCATTACTGAGCATGTCGATGTGAAGCATAATGTACCAGACATAGTCACCTTCTATGGGAAGGAAAACAGATGCAGAAATTCAGCAGATGTGATTTATTTATATTAAAGTGAAACAGTATGTTGTGTAAGCCACAATGAGAACACATTAAGTAGATAAAATAAACACCATAAAAGATACTTTTGGCTAAGAAAATTTCAATAAATTATTTGACTATTAAATGTCATAGGTTATCAAAAGTAAATTTCAAGATTTTTTTTCCACACAATTTTCATCGGTAGGTATTATCGTTTGTGGTTTTCATACTTTTGCCCTATCAAACAGAAATAAAAATATTTTTTTCCTTCATAATTTCAACATCGATTTGGTTGCAATACTGCTATTAATATGCATATAGTAATTAAGTATACAGAAAAACTAGAAATGATATACTACTCTTATCATATTCACATAATGTTATAATATTTAATAATGAGAGTATCATAGACGACAGAATGGTTATAACGTAATCAAAACGGGGTCAGTTGATTCAGCTACAAATTCACCATATGCAATTATTTATATTGGCGGCATATTTAAATGGCTTGAGAACATGTCTGCGTGCCATTTAGATAGGGCTACTCAACGCTATCCTACCGTTTTCTGCTATTATTTGTCAAGATTTCTTTTACAAAATATATTACCAATTTTGAAGTTAGATAAATATTTTAATGTATATAGTAAAGATTCATGTGCATCTCACAAAAATATTTGAGGTTGTAGATCTACCATTTATAGGAGGCTGTGGATCTACCCTAAATAGGAGGCTGTGGATGTACCCTAAATAGGAGGCTGTGGATCTACCCTTAATAGGAGGCTGTTGATCTACCCTAAATAGGAGGCTGTGGATCTACCCTTAATAGGAGACTGTGGATCTACCCTTAATAGGAGCCTGTGGATCTACCCTTAATAGGAGGCTGTGGATCTACCCTTAATAGGAGGCTGTGGACTATTGTGTATTGATGTTGTTGTCCTTTTCACCTAGGACTTTTGCGCTTTTTTTTTGCTCTTTGACCTAGAACTATTGAGTATTGATGTTGTTGCCCTTTGACCTAGGACTTCTGCGTATTGATGTTGTTGCTCTTTGACCTAGGACTATTGAGTATTGATGTTGTTGCCCTTTGACCAAGGACTATTGAGTATTGATGTTGTTGCCCTTTGACCTAGGACTATTGAGTATTGATGTTGTTGCCCTTTGACCTAGGACTGTTGACTGTTGATGTTGTTGCCCTTTGACATAGGACTATTGAGTATTGATGTTGTTGCCCTTTGACCTAGGACTATTGAGTATTGATGTTGTTGCCCTTTGACCTAGGACTGTTGACAATTGATGTTGTTGCCCTTTCGCTAAGGACTTTTGACTATTGATGATTTTGCTCTTTTGACCTAAAACTAACGATGAGTTGTAAAGATATCAGATTCATCAAAATGTTCTGGGATCAACCTCGCGATTAACTGACCCTTAAATAGTGTTTTGAAGATAATATACACAGATAAACAACGACGGTTTGGTAAAACAAGGAACAATGATGGCTGCCAGTAAGCTGACAAACGCTGATGATTGAGGTTATGATTTTGTGAAAATAAGTATGTAACATGGCTAATAAAGTAATCAAGCAATAAGGTAAATTAAAATGTGATCCATAACGTAGTCCAGGGGATAGGTATTGTTCGGGTGCAGCTCTCTAAGGTCCTCATCCTGATCAGCTGCAGTAATACATCTTTCTTTCCTTGCATTTCTTCACACAGCGTCTATTGCCTCCACTTTTACCTTTGCCTTTGCATGTCTGTTTACAGCACTCTACAACACCCAAAGTAAATTGTCTCTGTTTACAGCACTCTACAACACCCAAAGTAAAAATATATCTGTCTACAATAACCTACAACAACTAAAGTAAATTGTCTCTGTCTACAGCAACCTACAACACCCGAAGTAAATTGTCTCTGTCTACAGTAACCTACAACACCTAAAGTAAGATATATCTGTCTACAGTAAACTACAACACCCGAAGTAAAAAATATCTGTCTACAGTAACCTACAACACCTAAAGTAAAATATATCGGTCTACAGTAAACTACAACACCCGAAGTAAAAAATATCTATCTACAGCAACCTACAACACCAAAAGTTAATTGTCTCTGTCTACAGTAACCTACAACACCCTAAGTAAAATATATCTGTCTACAGTAACCTACAACACCCAAAGTAAATTGTCTCTGTCTACAGCAACCTACAACAACTAAAGTAAATTGTCTCTGTCTACAGAAACCTACAACACCCAAAGTGAATTGTCTCTGACTACAGTAACCCACAACACCCAAAGTGAATTGTCTCTAACTACAGTAACCTACAACACCCAAAGTGAATTGTCTCTGTCTACAGTAACCTACAACACCCAAAGTGAATTGTCTCTGACCACAGTAACCCACAACACCCAAAGTGAATTGTCTCTAACTACAGCAACCTACAACACCCAAAGTGAATTGTCTCTGACTACAGTAACCCACAACACCCAAAGTGAATTGTCTCTAACTACAGCAACCTACAACACCCAAAGTGAATTGTCTCTGACTACAGTAACCTACAACACGCTAAGTAAATTGTCTCTGTCTACAGTAAACTACAACACCCGAATTAAATTGTCTCTGTCTACAGCAACCTACAACAACTAAAGTAAACTGTCTCTGTCTACAGAAACCTAAAACCCCCAAAGTGAATTGTCTCTGACTACAGTAACTTACAACCCCCTAAGTAAATTGTCTCTGTCTACAGTAACCTAAAACACCCAAAGTAAATTGTCTCTGTCTGCAGTAACCTACAACACCCTAAATAAAATGTCTCTGTCTACAGTCTGACTACAGTAACCCACAACACCCAAAGTGAATTGTCTCTAACTACAGTAACCTACAACCCCCAAGGTGAATTGTCTCTGTCTACAGTAACCTACAACACCCGAAGTAAATTATCTCTGTCTACAGTAACCTACAACACCCAAAGTTAATTGTCTCTGCCTACAGTAGCCTACAACACCCTCAATAAAATGTCTCTGTCTACAGTAACCTACAACACCCAAAGTTAATTGTCTCTGCCTACAGTAACCTACAACACCCTAAGTAAGTTGTCTCTGTCTACAGTTGTCTACAGTAACCTACAACACCCGAAGTAAGTTATCTCTATCTACAGTAACCTAAAACACCCAAAGTAAATTGTCTCTGCCTACAGTAACCTAAAACACCCAAAGTTAATTGTCTCTGTCTACAGTAACCTACAACACCCTAAGTAAGTTGTCTCTGTCTACAGTAACCTACAACACGCTAAGAAAATTGTCTCTGTCTACAGTAAACTACAACACCCGAATTAAATTGTCTCTGTCTACAGCAACCTACAACAACTAAAGTAAACTGTCTCTGTCTACAGAAACCTAAAACCCCCAAAGTGAATTGTCTCTGACTACAGTAACCTACAACACGCTAAGTAAATTGTCTCTGTCTACAGTAACCTAAAACACCCAAATAACCTAAAACACCCAAAGTAAATTGTCTCTGCCTACAGTAACCTAAAACACCCAAAGTTAATTGTCTCTGTCTGCAGTAACCTACAACACCCTAAATAAAATGTCTCTGTCTACAGTAACCTACAACACCCAAAGTTAATTGTCTCTGCCTACAGTAACCTACAACACCCTCAATAAAATGTCTCTGCCTTCAGTAACCTACAACACCCTAAGTAAGTTGTCTCTGTCTACAGTTGTCTACAGTAACCTACAACACCCGAAGTAAATTATCTCTGTCTACAGTAACCTACAACACCCAAAGTTAATTGTCTCTGCCTACAGTAACCTACAACCCCCTCAATAAAATGTCTCTGCCTACAGTAACCTACAACACCCTAAGTAAGTTGTCTCTGTCTACAGTAACCTACAACACCCGAAGTAAATTGTCTCTGTTTACAGTAACCTACAACCCTAAGTAAATTGTCTCTGTCTACAGTATCCTACAACACCCTAAGTAAATTGTCTCTGTCTACAGTAACCTAAAACACCCAAAGTAAATTGTCTCTGTCTATAGCAGCCTACACCACCAAAAGTAAATTGTCTCTGTCTACAGCAACCTACAACACCCTAAGTAAATTGTCTCTGTCTACAATAACCTTCAACACGCAAAGTTAATTGTCTCTGCCTACAGTAACCTACAACACCCTCAATAAAATGTCTCTGTCTACAGTAACCTACAACACCCTAAGTAAATTGTCTCTGTCTACAGTAACCTAAAACACCCAAAGTAAATTGTCTCTGTCTATTGCAGCCTACACCACCAAAAGTAAATTGTCTCTGTCTACAGCACCCTACAACACCCTAAGTAATTTGTCTCTGTCTACAGTAACCTACAACACCCAAAGTTAATTGTCTCTGCCTACAGTAACCTACAACACCCTCAATAAAATGTCTCTGTCTACAGTAACCTACAACACCCGAAGTAAATTGTCTCTGTCTACAGTAAACTACAACACCCGAAGTAAATTGTCTCTGTCTACAGCAACCCACAACACCCTAAGTAAATTGTCTCTGTCTACAGCAACCTACAACACCCTAAGTAAATCGTCTCTGTCTACAGCAACCTACACCACCAAAAGTAAATTGTGTCTGTCTACAGCACCCTACAACACCCTAAGTAATTTGTCTCTGTCTACAGTAACCTACAACACCCGAAGTGAATTGTCTCTGTCTACAGTAACCTACAACACCCAAAGTAAATTGTGTCTGCCTACAGTAACCTACAACACCCTCAATAAATTGTCTCTGGTTACAGTAACCTACAACACGCAAAGTAAATTGTCTCTGTCTACAGCAACCTACAACACCCTAAGTAAATTGTCTCTGTCTACAGTAACCTACAACACCCAAAGTAAATTGTGTCTGTCTACAGTAACCTACAACACCCTAAGTAAATTGTCTCTGGCTACAGTAACCTACAACACCCGAAGTAAGTTATCTCTGTCTACAGTAACCTAAAACACCCAAAACAAATTGTCTCTGTCTATAGCAGCCTACACCACCAAAAGTAAATTGTCTCTGTCTACAGCACCCTACAACCCCCTAAGTAAATTGTCTCTGTCTACAGTAACCTACAACACCCAAAGTTAATTGTCTCTGCCTACAGTAACCTACAACACCCTCAATAAAATGGCTCTGCCTACAGTAACCTACAACACCCTAAGTACATTGTCTCCGACTACAGTAACCTACAACACGCTAAGTAAATTGTCTCTGTCTACAGTAACCTACAACACCCTAAGTACATTGTCTCCGTCTACAGTAACCTACAACACGCTAAGTAAGTTGTCTCTGTCTACAGTAACCTACAACACCGAAGTAAATTGTCTCTGTCTACAGTAACCTACAACACCCGAAGTAAATTGTCTCTGCCTACAGTAACCTACAACACCCTCAATAAAATGGCTCTGCCTACAGTAACCTACAACACCCTAAGTAAGTTGTCTCTGTCTACAGTAACCTATATCACCCGAAGTAAATTGTTTCTGTCTACAGTAACCTACAACACCCAAAGTAAATTGTCTCTGTCTACAGTAACCTACAACACCCAAAGTAAATTGTCTCTGTCTACAGTAACCTACAACACCCTAAGTAAGTTGTCTCTGTCTACAGTAACCTAAAACACCCTAAGTAAATTGTCTCCGTCTACAGTAACCTACAACACGCTAAGTAAATTGTCTCTCTCTACAGTAAACTACAACACCCGAAGTAAATTGTCTCTGTCTACAGTAACCTACAACACCCAAAGTGAATTGTCTCTGACTACAGTAACCTACAACACCCTAAGTAAATTGTCTCTGTCTAAAGTAACCTACAACACCCGAAGTAAATTGTCTCTGTCTACAGCAACCTACAACACCCTAAGTAAATTGTCTCTGTCTACAGTAACCTAAAACACCCAAAGTAAATTGTCTCTGTCTACAGTAACCGACAACACACAAAGTAAATTGTCTCTGTCTACAGTAACCTACAATACCCAAAGTAAATTGTCTCTGTCTACAGTAACCTACAACACCCTAAATAAAATGTCTTTGTCTACGGTAACCTATAACACCCAAAGTAAATTGTCTCTGACTACAGTAACCCACAACACCCTAAGCAAATTGTCTCTGTCTACAGTAACCTACAACACCCTAAGTAAATTGTCTCTGTCTACAGTAACCTACAACACCCAAAGTAAATTGTCTCTGTCTACAGTAACCTACAACACCCTAAGTAAATTGTCTCTGTCTACAGTAACCTACAACACCCAAAGTAAATTGTCTCTGTCTACAGTAACCTACAACACCCTAAGTAAATTGTCTCTGTCTACAGTAACCTACAACACCCTAAGTAAATTGTCTCTGTCTACAGTAACCTACAACACCCTAAGTAAATTGTCTCTGTCTACAGTAACCTACAACACCCTAAGTAAATTGTCTCTGTCTACAGTAACCTACAACACCCTAAGTAAATTGTCTCTGTCTACAGTAACCTACAACACCCTAAGTAAATTGTCTCTGTCTACAGTAACCTACAACACCCTAAGTAAATTGTCTCTGTCTACAGTAACCTACAACACCCTAAGTAAATTGTCTCTGACTACAGTAACCTACAACACCCTAAGTAAATTGTCTCTGTCTACAGTAACCTACAACACCCAAAGTAAATTGTCTCTGTCTACAGTAACCTACAACACCCTAAGTAAATTGTCTCTGTCTACAGTAACCTACAACACCCTAAGTAAATTGTCTCTGTCTACAGTAACCTACAACACCCTAAGTAAATTGTCTCTGTCTACAGTAACCTACAACACCCTAAGTAAATTGTCTCTGTCTACAGTAACCTACAACACCCTAAGTAAATTGTCTCTGTCTACAGTAACCTACAACACCCTAAGTAAATTGTCTCTGTCTACAGTAACCTACAACACCCTAAGTAAATTGTCTCTGTCTACAGTAACCTACAACACCCTAAGTAAATTGTCTCTGTCTACAGTAACCTACAACACCCTAAGTAAATTGTCTCTGTCTACAGTAACCTACAACACCCAAAGTAAATTGTCTCTGTCTACAGCAACCTACAACACCCTTAGTAAATTGTCTCTATCTACAGCAACCTACACCACCAAAAGTAAATTGTCTCTGTCTACAGCACCCTACAACACCCTAAGTAAATTGTCTCTGTCTACAGTAACCTACAACACCCGAAGTAAGTTGTCTCTGTCTACAGTAACCTAAAACACCCTAAATAAAATGTCTTTGTCTACAGTAACCTACAACACCCAAAGTAAATTGTCTCTGTCTACAGTAACCTACAACACCCGAATTAAGTTGTCTCTGTCTACAGTAACCTACCACACCCGAAGTAAGTTGTCTCTGTCTACCGTAACCTACAACACCCGAAGTAAATTGGGTCTGCCTACAGTAACCTAAAACACCTTAAATAAAATGTCTCTGTCTACAGTAACCTACCACACCCGAAGTAAGTTGTCTCTGTATACAGTAACCTAAAACACCCTAAATAAAATGTCTTAGTCTACAGTAACCTACAACACCCGAAGTAAGTTGTCTCTGTCTACAGTAACCTACAACACCCGAAGTAAATTGTGTCTGCCTACAGTAACCTAAAACACCTTAAATAAAATGTCTCTGTCTACAGTAACCTACAACACCCAAAGTAAATTGTCTCTGTCTACAGCAACCTACAACACCCTAAGTAAATTGTCTCTGTCTACAGCAACCTACACCACCAAAAGTAAATTGTCTCTGTCTACAGCACCCTACAACACCCAAAGTAAATTGTCTCTGTCTACAGTAACCTACAACACCCAAAGTTAATTGTCTCTGCCTACAGTAACCTACAACACCCTCGATAAAATGTCTCTGTCTACAGTAACCTACAACACCCTAAGTAAGTTGTCTCTGTCTACAGTAACCTACAACACCCAAAGTTAATTGTCTCTGTCTACAGTAACCTACAACACCGAAAGTAAATTGTCTCTGTCTACAGTAACCTACAACACCCAAAGTTAATTGTCTCTGTCTACAGTAACCTACAACACCCAAAGTGAATTGTCTCTGACTACAGTAACCCACAACACCCTAAGTAAATTGTCTCTGTCTACAGTAACCTACAACACCGAAAGTAAATTGTCTCTGTCTACAGCAACCTACAATACCAAAAGTGAATTGCCTTTATCTACAGCAACCTCAAACATCCAGATTAAATTGTCTCTGTCTACAGCAACGTACAACACCCTGTTGTCTTACATTACATAGAGCTACTCTTCACTTAAGTGACTGTTGTCTTACATTTGATAAAAATACCCTACACTCACGTGACTGTTTTCTTACATTACATAGAGTTACCCTACACTCACGTGACTATTGTCTTACATTAAATAGAGTTACCCTTCACTCACGTGATTGTTTTCTTACATTTGATAAAATTACCCTACACTCATGTGACTGTTGTCTTACATAAGATAGAGTGACCCTAAACTCACGTGATTGTTGTCTCACATTACATAGAGGTACCCTACACTCACGTAAATGTTTTATTATATTACATAGAGTTACCCTACATCTACGAAACTGTTGTCTTACACAAGATTAAGTTATCCTAGACTCACGTGACTGTTGTCTTATAGTAGATAGAGTTACCCTACACTCACGTGATTGTTGTCTTACATTACATAAAGTTACCCTACACTCATGTGACTGTTGTCTAATATTAAATAGAGTTTCCCTTCAATCACGTGACTGTTGTTTTACATTACATTGAGTTTCCCTACACACAGGTGACTGTTGTCTTACATTACATAGAGTTACCCTACACTCATGTGACTGTTGTCTAATATTAAATAGAGTTACCCTTCAATCACCTGATTGTTGTCTTACATTACATTGAGTTTCCCTACACTCAGGTGACTGTTGTCTTACATTAAATAGAGTTACCCTTCAATCACGTGATTGTTGTCTTACATTACATAGAGTTACCCTTCACTCATGTGACTGTTGTCTTACATTACATAGAGTTACCCTACACTCACGTGACTGTTGTCTTACATTACATAGAGTTACCCTACACTCACGTTATTGTTGACTGACATAATATAGATTTACCCTTCACTCTCGTGATTGTTGTCTTACATTAGAAAAAGTTATCCTACACTCATGTGACTGTTGCCTTACATTACATAGAGTTACCCTACACTCACGTGAGTGTTGTCTTACATTTGATAAAGTTATCCTACACCCACGTGATTGTTGTCTTACATTACATAGAGTTACCCTATACTCACGTGACTGTTGTCTTACATTAGATAAAATTATCCTACACTCACGTGACAGTTCCCTTACAGTAGATAACGTTATCCTACAGTCACGTGACTGTTGTCTTACATTAGATAAAATTATCCTACACTCACGTGACTGTTCCATTACATTAGATAAAGTTATCCTACAGTCACTTGACTGTTGTCTAACATTACATAGAGGTATCCTTCACTCACGTGACTGTTGTCTTACATAAGATAGAGTTACCCTACACTCACTTGACTGTTGTCTAACATAACATAGAGTTACCCTTCACTCACGTGACTGTTGTCTTACATAAGATAGAGTTACCTACTCCCACGTGACTGTTGTCTTATATTACATCGAGTTACCCTACACTCACGTGACTGTTGTCTTACATTAGATAAATTTATCCTACACTCACGTGACTGTTGTCTTACATAAGATAGAGTTACCTACTCTCACGTGACTGTTGTCTTATATTACATAGAGTTACCCTACACTCACGTGACTGTTGTCTTACATTACATAGAGTTACCCTACACTCACGTGACTGTTGTCTTACATTACATAGAGTTACCCTACACTCACCTTATTGTTGTCTTACATTATATAGAGTTACCCTTCAATCACGTGATTGTTGTCTTACATTATATAGAGTTACCCTTCAATCACGTGATTGTTGTCTAACATTTGATAAAGTTACCCTACACTCAGGTGACTGTTGTCTTACATTAAATATAGTTACCCTTCAATCACGTAACTGTTGTCTTACATTACATAGAGTTACCCTACACTCATGTGACTGTTGTCTTACATTATATAGAGTTACCCTTCAATCACGTGATTGTTGTCTTACATTAAATAGAGTTACCCTACACTCATGTGACTGTTGTCTAATATTAAATAGAGTTACCCTTCAATCACGTGATTGTTGTCTTACATAACATAGAGTTACTCTTTAATCACGTACTTGTTGTCTTACATTACATAGAGTTACCGTTCAATCACGTGACTGTTGTCTTACATTACATTGAGTTTCCCTACACTCATGTGACTGTTGTCTTACATTACATAGAGTTACCCTTCTTTAACATGACTGTTGTCTTACATTACATAGAGTTACCCTACACTCACGTGATTGTTGTCTGACGTAATATAGATTTACCCTTCACTCTCGTGATTGTTGTCTTACATTAGAAAAAGTTATCCTACACTCATGTGACTGTTGTCTTACATTACATAGAGTTACCCTACACTCACGTGAGTGTTGTCTTACATTTGATAAAGTTATCCTACACCCACGTGATTGTTGTCTTACATTACATAGGGTTACCCTACACTCACGTGACTGTTGTCTTACATTAGATAAAATTATCCTACACTCACGTTACTGTTCCCTTACATTAGATAAAGTTACCTACAGTCACGTGACTGTTGTTTTACATTAGATAAAATTATCCTACACTCACGTGACTGTTCCCTTACATAAGATAAAGTTATCCTGCAGTCACTTGACTGTTGTCTAGCATTACATAGAGGTACCCTTCACTCACGTGACTGTTGTCTTACATAAGATAGAATTACCCTACACTCACTTGCCTGTTTTCTAACACTACATAGAGTTACCCTTCACTCACGTGACTGTTGTCTTACATAAGATAGAGTAACCTACTCTCACGTGACTGTTGTCTTACATTACATCGAGTTACCCTACACTCACGTGACTGTTGTCTTACATTACATAGAGTTACCCTACACTCACGTGACTGTTGTCTTACATTAGATAAAGTTATCCTACACTCACTTGACTGTTGTCTTACAATACATAGAGTTACCCTACACTCACGTGACTGTTGTCTTACATTACATAGAGTTACCCTACACTCACGTGACTGTTGTGTTTCATTAGATAGAGTTACCCTTCACTTACGTAACCTTTGTTTTATATTGTATTTTTTTTTTATTTGTTCTTACTTTTCCATTGTTTGTTTTTTGTCGTTGAATTGCAGTCGGGGCAAGGTTTACATGTTTTGCCGTCCTTACACAGGTTTCCTTCACATGGATCTGTTTATAAAAAAACATTCCTGTCAGCAGAGCATAAACAACATCTATTAATAATTATTAATTATGATGAACATATTTCGACAACTATAAAGTTAATGGAATGTTTTGATTGTAACAAAGATCTTTCATATAACACTTAATCAATGGATTGATGTAAATCATAAGTGCTTTAGTTTCGACTAAGTTTATGAAAACCACAAATGATCACCCTTATTTTTCTTGAAACTATACATTTATTTATAACCGATAATTTTTATGAAACTTAAGATAACAGACAAACAACTTTTTTATATCAAGGTTTAACACCCTTTACTGTAAATAACATATCAAGGTTTACCACCCTTTACTGTAAACCACATACCAAGGTTTACCACCCTTTACTGTAAACAACAAATCAAGATTTACCACCCTTTACTGTAAACAACAAATCAAGGTTTACCACCCTTTACTGTAAACCATATATTAAGGTTTACCACCCTTTACTGTAAACTACATATCAAGGTTTACCATACCTTTACTGTAAACCACATACCAAGGTTTACCATACACTAACTGTAAACCACATATCAAGGTTTACCACCCATATACTGTAAACCACTAATTTACTGTAAACCACTAATTTACTGTTAACCACATATCAAGGTTTACCACCTATTTACTGTAAACCACATATCAAGGTTTACCACTTATTTACTGTAAACCACACATCAAGGTTTACCACTTATTTACTTATGAAGTTGATGACATTGTTAACATTTTTTACAATCAGTACACATATACAGATGCTAGTGGGCTAGGTTTGGCGCAGTTTTAGGAACAAAATGGCCAAAACCATTAAACCTTGATATGTGGTTTACAGTAAATAGGTTGTAAACCTTGATACATAGTTTACAGTAAAAGGCTGTAAACCCTGATATGTGGTTTACAGTCAATAGGTGGTAAATCAGGGTTATATGATAAGTACACATATTTACTGCGTTTTATACGAGAATAACACATGTACATATGATAAGTACACATAAATACTGCGCTTTATACGAGAATGACACATGTACATATGATAAGTACACATATATACTGCGCCTTATACGAGAAAGACACATGTACATATGATAAGTACACATATATACTGCGTTTTATACGAAAATGACACATGTACATATGCTAAGTACACCTATTTCCTCGTTTTATACGAGAATGACACATGTACATATGAAAAAGTACACCTATTTACTGCGGTTTATACGAAAATGACACATGTACATATGATAAGATGTGGATAATGATACTTAACTGTATTCGATAAAACATAATTTAAATGAAAGATTCTTTGAAGTTTTACGTTAATTATATTATAAGCTACCTTCGTTACAGCGTTTTCCGGTGAGGCCTTGCGGACAGTTGGTACAACTAAAGTCGGTTAAATCAGCGTCAGGGGTACATGTTCCACCATTGCAAGGTTCACCAACAGTACAGGGGTCCACGCCTTAAAAGAGAAAAGGAGAACTTCACAAAAGGGACAACACCCAGGATAGATTCAACACACATAATATATTAACTACTTATTCATAGGTGCTACATCAACACCTACAATATTCCATAAATTTCAATAAACACCAGAAAAGTATCGGTAAAATTACTTGACAGGATTAACATACTCTAAATCCCTAACTCACTTACAAAAACTAATGTACTGATACTTAATACTGTAAACCACTTACTGTAAAAACGTCAATTTAGTTTAAACCACTAATTTACTCTTAATCAATTATTTACAATAAACTAAGGACTTACTGTAAACCACTACTTTCCTATATACCGCTAAAGTATGGTAAATTTAGTGTAAACCACTTCTTTCCTATATACCGCTAAAGTATGGTAAATTTAGTGTAAACCACTACTTTCCTATTCACCGCTAAAGTATGGTAAATTTAGTGTTAACCACTACTATTTAATTCACCAGTAAAGTATGGTAAATTTACTGTAAACTACTACTTTCCTATTCACCACTAAAGTATGGAAAATTTACTGTAAACTACTACTTTCCTATTCATCACTTAAGTATGGTAAATTTACTGTTAACCATTACTTTCCTGTTCACCACTAACGTATGGTAAATTTTCTGTAAACCATTACTTTCCCATTCACCACTAAAGTATGGTAAATTTACTGTAAACCCCTACTTTCCTATTCATCACTTAAGTATCGTAAATTTACTGTAAACTACTACTTTCCTATTCATCACTTAAGTATCGTAAATTTACTGTAAACCCCTACTTTCCTATTCATCACTTAAGTATCGTAAATTTACTGTAAAC